GTGCTCAAACAATACTGCACACCTCGCAGATTCACATAAAATTAGTGTCTTGCACACAAACATCTGCACACCTGCAGATTCACAATTAAATTGTGTCTTGCACACAACATTTGCACACCTGCAGATTCACATAAAATTGTGTCTTGCACACAAACATCTGCACACCTGCAGATTCACATAAAATTGTGTCTTGTACACAAACATCTGCACACCTGCAGATTCATATGAAAATCAATGTTAGAAACTTTCAGCCAATTACAAAACACCACATTTTTGGTATAATGTTTATCACTGTAATGTCAAAAAGTTTTGAATTGTTGCTATAATACTTCTAATACCATTCAAAGTGCAATAAAGAAGCATACACATTGCGGATATGCTACAGAAACCCATAGTATGACCATAACACAAAAGCTTGTCAATATAAGTTATTAAATGTTTTATGTAAAAACTCATTCCTTGCTGAAAGTTATATATCAATGCTTGATTTATATGTAAGTTTAACTAGTCGTCTATCAGTTTACAACAGTACTCCACTATCGCTAAGCACGGTAGAGCTTATTATGGGCTGGGAAAAAAATGGCTATCGCATATTATGTATTGCTCATCATTGTCACATTTCTCTTGTAACAATGTAAAATACTTTTATAAACACCTAACTTAGGTTTGAGGTTTCCAAAAGCTAATAATATTTTCATTTTAGCCAAAAAACATAATTAAAGTATAGAGCTGGTAAGTAGCGTAACAGTCATATATTTTGCTGATTATTCTGATTCTGGCATTAAAGGGGCTAGCTAACCACTGCTTCAAGTAGTAGAGAAGTAAAGTGTCTCACCAACTTCAACACATGATGTCCATCAAGACAACTCATCAAGCCAGGCTAGAACTGCTGCCTTCATAATGACTGCAATTCATTAATACTGATTGTTTAAAAAAAAGGAAGGATGGGGAGAAAGAGTAATGATGATGTAGGGATGGCAATGCTAAAAAGTAGAAAAACAAGGATGAATGAATACACAAAACCATGCAAAAATCCCTACATAAGTAACCACTGGGTCAATGTTACAAGCTTATGGAAATTAGCTATTGTAAGACTATAACATTTAAATGCTTTTATTCAAACCTGAATTCATGAATATGAAAGTAATTCAACAATTAGTTGTAGATGAAAGTTTTACTTGAAAATATTTGGCTACTTATGTAGGATTTTTGTCAGTTTTTGTGTATTCATCTATACCTTATTTGTATACTTTCTGACATTGTCATCCCTACATCATCCTTACTTTTTTGACATTTTTTTTATAACATGTCTCATGTTAGTTATTATGTGAATACCATTTCAAATGATGTATTAAGGCTCCCACATTTTTAAATATTTTTCTATTCCCTCAAAAACTTTTCATACAATACCACAATTTGTATACTACTATTTACACACAATTTTATTATATAAACCACTTAATATATTAAGGATGAGTAAATAGTCATACATACAGTTTACTCATTTTAAGTCTCTACATTCAATGAACAATAGATATAAAATTATGTTTATGTTCTTACCTCGCAAGTTCTTTACAAAATCATCCAGCTTCATCCTTTTTTCTGCTTTCATGTTTGGAGTGTGCAAGTCTGTGTTCAGCATGATGATAGCAAATGCAAGGACAAAAACAGTGTCAGGATTCTGAAGCTTGGAAATTATTTCGTGATTACACTCAATGTAGCGGTGGCTGAACACTTCTACAAGTCTTTCTATTTTCTGAGCCTCACCCTTTGTGGAAAAGAAATTAATATACGAGAAAGAGAGTATTTAAAAAAGTCATAGAACTGCAAAACATCGACTAATTCATAGTATTTAACATTCATTATCTTACATTTTTGTGCATATGGGAGAAATTCACTTTTGAATAAGTAAAAATCAATACACTTAGGGTAAGACTTTGGGGATTAAATAACAATTAATGTCATGGTTAGTAACCTATATGATCACCTAATTCTAAATATTAATTACTTGTTTTGAAAAAGTCAATACATTATTTGAAGCTACAACACAATATAATCATGATTATTAACACATCAAATGACCTAAAGACTCAATGGTGAGCCTAAACACCATTAATAATAATATTCCTTTTCCCTCGTGAATGTGAAAGCAAGAAACAAACAAAAGACCAACAAAAGTCAGATTGAGAAACATAGTCAATACAAGAGACTCTGTAATATCAAATTTATCTCCAATAGCCAATCATGGCAGAAAAGAAGACAGTACACTAAAATGTAAGAATAAAAAAATGAGATATGAACTGCATACGAGGAAAAGTAAGCAGAAATAAGTTTTACTTCCACTTAACTGAAAACACAGTCAACCTAGCATAGAAGTCAGCAAAACCTGGATATCTCCCTTAAACCATTCAATTAGTTAATTGATTCAAGCCCTAAAAGGACAGAACCCAGTTGAGCAGACAGCACACAATCCTTTCTAACAACAAGACCCAGGTTCAAATCCCAATCTAGTCCATACCAACACAAAAAGTCTTCCCTGAAAATGGCCGCACATTAGCAACCAAAGCACAGAATATAAACTTATTAGTAATTAGCATCTCTTAATAGTACAAGTATAATAAAATTATTTAAATTTTATAAAGACAAGTAGGGATCGATATATATACGTAACCTAGCTAGCTATAGTAAAATAGAAAGTTTTAATGTTACAAAAAGTATTGAAACAAGAAAGTCAAAACTACAAAACCTGAGTTACTTAAAATGTAAACAAATATACCCATACTTTGGTTCAGACTAACATAGTTACAGTGATTATACTAGTAGCCTTTTCAGTACAAGAAAGGAATCATTGGGACCATAGACAGAAAAGTTCTGTGAAAGAATTAAAGCAATAAGATTTGTAATTTTTTTTTGTATGCTTGTCTGGAAAACTCACTTACTTAGATGAAAATTCATTGAAATAGTGAAATTTTAATTCACTCTATAAACACGTATACAGGGGGTCCTCATTATATGTCAGAGTTAGGGACCAGAAAGTTGCAACCTATATCAAAATGTATAACGGGATGGTGTATTTAAGTTTTTTCACTCACAAAAAAAGAAACCTATCATTCTATAGGTATTTGAAGAACTTGTAACATTCTGCCACAATTTAATTCTTCGTATCGTTATATGTCGGAGTTAGGGACCAGAAAATTGCAACTTATAACAAAACACTCACAAAAAAGAAACCTATCATTCTATAGGTATTTGAAGAACTTGTAACATTCTGCCACAATTTAATTCTTTGTATCGTTATATGTCGGAGTTAGGGACCAGAAAGTTGCAACCTATATCAAAATGTATAACGGGATGGTGTATTTAAGTTTTTTCACTCACAAAAAAAGAAACCTATCATTCTATAGGTATTTGAAGAACTTGTAACATTCTGCCACAATTTAATTCTTCGTATCGTTATATGTCGGAGTTAGGGACCAGAAAATTGCAACCTATATCAAAATGTATAACGGGATGGTGTATTTAAGTTTTTTCACTCACAAAAAAGAAACCTATCATTCTATAGGTATTTGAAGAACTTGTAGCATCCTGCCACAATTTAATTCTTCGTATTGTTAGCCAACACTAGGTTTGGTCTGAAGTTTCATTGGTGGTAGTGTCCAGGGTCACTGATGAGGAGTGGAATTCTCTGAAATTAGTCTGGCTCACAAAAACACCCCCAATGAAAGAATAGACCTTTCCAAGCTTTTACTTGTTGTTAAACAAATGTTTAAACAACTCTATTCAATAATGTATAATGGGGAATTTCCCTCATAAGAATAATGGGAAATGAAGAGAAAATAGGGACTGTAAGAGTGTAAACATTGCCTATGTGATGCAAAACAGAGCAATTTCCCCTATAAGAAACAATAAAATATGGTATTGAATAAGGGACCATAACTTAAGAAGAGCCATAAATTCTTACAGCCTTCAGTTTCGTTTGGTTACAGAGCTATCAAATAGAAAATCAGACCCCTTCTGCCACATCCTCTCTTTCACAATTTGTTAATAGTTCTCTCATATGTTTAATTATATATTACACCTATAACCAACAGAAAGCGAAGGTTTTCATCTATCAAATGATGTATTGTATAACATTGTGTTCTGAACAGATAAGTGCCAATTTCTCTTCAATACACAGTTCATTCCCATGGATGAATTTGTAATGGCTCTTGTCGCATAGTTAGAAAGCAAGAAAAATTTTGAGAGTTAGGTGAGATTGTCTACTTTTTGCATGTTATTAGTCTGTGTTCTTTGTTGCATTATTTAATTAAATAAAAATTATTTAGTGCATTATTACCATTAGTATAAAAAAAACGTAGGGTTAACTGTCATCGACAATCAACATCAAGAAAAATAAAGATTGGGTACTTTATTTCTTGTTTTTCATGTTTATTCTTTATTTATTTATTATTATAAAAGTAATTAAAATGTAAAAATATGGATATTTTTAGGTTAGTTAAGATTAAATTAGGTAAAATAAATAATAATAATAATATAATAAAAATGTTTCATGAGGCATGCATGCGAGCAGCTTGTAGTAGCTCATGGGTAATGTAATTCATTAGCGTAATGTGAGCTGCATGTTCCTCGAGTGATTTACAACTTATAATGGCACGAATAGTAGTTAGACACAGTTCAAAGGGTAGTTAGAAGGGCAATAAAATTTAATTATAAACAGATGTATACTGTTACAAGCTTAAAGCTACTTAGGATAAACAAATGTAGTTTCATGTTACAAATTTAAGTCATTCCCAAAAGAAAACAAGGGTAATTTAGATTTATTTTGGTTATTAGGTTGGTCAAATTCACCAATACAGTATAGAGATAGAGTAGAGAAAATAACAGATAAAATAAAGTTTTACTTTATTTGTCAGTGAAATTCACAATTTGGTAATGAGAGGAAAAATTACACTAATTAGAGAATATTTTAACTTTATATTTCAGCTCCAAAAAATCAAAACTATTAATATAAAGTAATTTAAATCACAAACCCACACCATTAATTCGTTATTCTGCAAATTTAGAATCTAATGATCAACCATATGATCTAAAACCCAAATGACTAGTAATTCAGTCCATGCTGGATTATAAACATTTGGTAGGTGTGGCTCTATACCTTTACAGTTCATGACTTTCACTTCAACACAGAGAAAGAAATAGCAGTTTCCAGGGCACCTTCAGTGTCTGAAATCATTTGAAGGAATAGGACACACAGCATTCCTTGTCTGCTCAATGGGATTGAAGTTGACCAAGCATGCAAAGCCATTCCATTCAGTCAGTCCTCTATTAACTAAACAAAATATATCACCATTTTAGAATGGTTGTGTCAGGTACTATCAAACAGAAGTCATCAACTTGCACTATGGATGATCATCTTCCTTGTTCAGCTGCTCAAGCAGTTTAGCAATCCACATTCTGTTAAACACTTTGAGACACTTGTAGGTAATTTGTAAGAGCCTGGTGTGAATGACCATCTTCCATTTATACAGAGGCTCTCCACATCAGTGAAATATCCAGAGGTTTATTATGAGGTCTGGAGCAAGGTTTGTGGACAATTTGGAGCACTTTAACTTCTGTAATTTAATTTAAAACAATAACTGAAGCACGACAGTGAGACCATTATATAAGTGGTTGAATGACCACTCGATTACATTTCAATTCACTTGATTGATCAGCAGTTGCCTGATTTGTGGAACAGTGAACTTAGAGTGTGATTGGCATCATATTGTAACTGTTGTTTTGCCTTGTCATATCTATAATACAAATTATGATTATCCTTCAAAAATTTACTGCAGTAGACTATATAAATGTATTTGCTATATTTAACTTGGGTTACTTTAACACAGACAGAAAAAAAAAAACGATTTGACAAACAATGATCAGTTTCTTGGAATATTAAAAAACAATCATGTGATAATACCTGGGGCAGGTGCTGACGGCGTTCTGTTATACTGTACTTCACCCATGACATAACAGCATTGAAAACTTTTTCCTCACTAAGGACGTTTAACTCATCATTAGAGACAATGTCGATGAGTTGATTTACTGGAAGCAGTAAAAACTCCTCATTCTCCATCACCTGACAGTTCAATGAGGTCAAGATAATTGTTTATAAATATCTTTAATATTAGTTGTTGTTTTTGATTTCTTTTTACAAAAAAGTGCAAATTATTAATACATATCTACTGACAGATTATACTTACAAAAAAATGTTAGAAAACTAGTTTTTGGGTGCAAACACACCAAAGCATTTTTAAAATATTAAACTAAAATAATAAGCACAAAATAGTTTGACATAAAAAGTTGCAAAAAAACATTATTGAAAATAAGTTTCACTTCCTGTAGAGAAAAAAAATATGCTGTAAAAATTAATATAATGACTAAATTCAAGGTGATTAGCATACCACTTTAATCTTATCATTAAAAAAAGTGTAGAAATTATTCTGCAATTTTTTTTTCTTTAGCAAGAATATTTTACAGTCTTTTAGGTATGACAGTGGATAATTCCAAAATAATATTCACTTAGTTAAGTCAATTATTTCAAATATTGGCCATTGGAAACATTGTTCCAGTACTAAGAATATTATAATTGTTTATTTGTTGTTTAAGCACAAAGCTACACAATTGGCTATCTGTGCTATGCCCACCATGGGTATCAAAACCCAGTTTTTAGCATTATAAGCCTTCAGACTTACCACTGAAAGTCAAAAACTAAAATACATGAAAAGTGTATTTTGGGAAATCTACTAAGTGTCTGTAAGTGAAAATATTCCTTTTTGAATTTTGTATTTAATAAGAGTTATTTATATCTTAATTTATATAAGATGAAGGTGACATCATTCAAAGATAAGTAACCACTGGAATAATGTTCAGAGTGTTTTCTTATTTATCTTTATTTTATTTATTTATTTGTGTATGTGTAAAATAAACTTCACAGCTAAAAAAAACCACCTGGGCACATTGTGCAGAACAAATGCAACATGTTTGGTATACAGTATAGAACAGTAAAAGAAAAAATATACCCAGTTAGCTATAAAATGCAAACTATTAAATATGGTTACAAAAATGAACCTGAGCTCTTGATACCACTATACATCTACAGTTTTCTTAATCCATCATATAAAAATAAAGCAGAAATAGCAAGAACATGTATAAGTAATTTGAAACGGTGTGAAAGCCACTGATGATAAATTTATTAAACATATATATATATTTATATATACACACACACATGTACACTCAAGTGTATGAATTTTTCAGAAATGAAGAGAAATGTATGTATAAAGATCTCTAATGAAAACATACCTCTTGAAAATTATGTTGAGTAAACTTGTCAGCAATTCGTAAAAGTTCTCGGCAAGAATGGGTATCAGCAAATGCCCTGATGCCCAAGCAGTTAGAAGGGTCTAATTGTCGCTTTAAGAATTCACAACACACTTCTTGAATTTCAGCCATTTGAAGTAAACAAGCGGCAGGCAACAAAACTTGCACATTTGTTTCTTCCACCACTATGTGGGAGGTGTATGCAAAATCAATCAGTAGTTCCATGGCATGTTCATCAATATCTCTGATTGTCACCTAAAATGATACATCTACTATATTAATAACAGAAATGAAGAAGTGTTAAAGTTACTTTCTAGGTAAGCGACTTGTAAACAAGCAATTAATTTATTCTATACTCATAAGAAAAAAAAAATCACTTAGCATTTATTTATTAGACTGAAGCCAAAGTGTAGTCAAGTCATCATAAGTCAGCAGCAGGTAAGTCACAAATCAATTAAAAAATTAATATTTGATTGTATGTTAGTCAATATACATGTAGTTGAAGAAATAGAGGTGACTTGTATTTTGTTATTTTCTTAATGCTTTTCTTTAAATATATCTTACAGAAATCATTAATTATAGTGGAGTTCTCTTTAAAACAAGTAATCTTTCTAGATTCTCAATGACTACAATATTATAGAAAATCTTAGTGGCCATAATATCTTTCTTTTTCCTATGGTATTGATGAAATCTGAAATGGAACAGAAAAAGTTGTGATGATAGTTCATTTAACCATCAATATTTATTATCTATAAATCCCATCTTCACGAAAACGAATAGGTAGAACACTCTCCATTGCACATAAAAGAACAAATATACATGTTGATCTTGATCCTCCACAAACAAAACTAGCAAACCCTCAAAACTAACAGGAAGACACATACACACAAAAACAAATTGGAAAGTTAGAACTCAATGCAACCAATAGCATGTGACACATAAAACACTGTTACTGATTCAAGTGACTTATAACCTCATTCTTTATGTAAACTAACATGTTTTGGTAAACATGCACATCCAGTTAGATCTTTGTAACTTGGTAAAGATGTTAACTCAGCAAGATCTAAAGACAATGCATGTAGTCTCAAAATGTTACAAGTTCTTGTGGGATCAATCATTTGACACAAGGCATTTAATTTATGCAAAAAGTTCAATTAGGTTAAGTCATTTTCACTTTAAAGCATTACATTTCGTAAATTACAAAACATTCGGATATATTGGAAAAGTACTTACTATAATTTTAAATTTACTATGTGTATCTTCATTAAATGTGGCAGACTTTTGGTAAACAGTACAAGTCCACTATACATAAAAAATCAGATGTCTTAATAAAGTATTTGTACTAAAGATAAGTCTGTGAATTTATGAAGTCAGTTTGACTCAGAATCTGACAAAGTTGAGGTACAAGGTGATGTCAATGTGAAGAATAAAAGTTGGCATTTTCTGATATCACAAATGTATTTCTAACAATACTCACCTCTACTCACACTACAGCTGTTACTCAACTGCTAGGGTTTCTTTCCCTTTGCCCATCTAAGCATTGGTCTGATTTTTTCATCCCCCCACTTAATTGCCCTTGGTAATATCTGTCTCATGACACTCTACACCTACATCAATGCACCTTCTATCTTGGTGCTGTATATAAACACCCCCTTCAGATGACATTGTCCCTTTTTCAAGACTGACCCAATCCACAGTCTCAAGTAGGTGATACGAAGAATGCTCAAAGTATGTAAGTGAATGATTTGTTGAGAAAAAGTGACAATATTCAATGAAGGAGGTGCTTATATACAATACCAAGATAGAGGGCACATTGACATAGAAGGAGAGTGACATGTGACAGATATCGCCAAGGACAATTAAGTGAGGAATAAAAGATTGGAGCAAGCAAGAAAAAAATCAGATGCTTAGATGGAAAAGAAACCTTAGCAGTCAAATAATAGCTGTAGTGTGAGGAGAGGTATGTATGTTTTGGAAATACTTATTTTCAATTATACAGCTTGCATAACCTTTAGAACTTCTAAAATACATAAACAGTTTTTTTCAGTATTCCTGTATATTGTATTGTATTTTCTTTACTATAACATGAACTGTTGAAAACTCAGAATCATAGGATCAAATGAAAACTTAACAATTCTGACATCAAGTTCTTAATACCAACTATGTACATCCACTTTTACCCCTCACCAGTGTTCCCTCTATTCTGCACACTTGCACAACAACTAATCAAGTGCTGTGCACTTCATTATTCCAGCCACGCACATTCTCAGTATTGGTGAGGAATCTCAACACGTTGATGGCCTTAATGACCCTGGCAGCTGATAGGCCTGAAGCCCAAATAATCAATTGGTAGCATTGTAAAGAGGCCTAATGATCCAATAGGGTCGATAGTCTAAAAATACCCCCCTCACCACTGGTAGCACACATCTGCACATTGCCTTGATATTGATGCACATGAAAAAATTCATTCTGCACATGGACTGAAAAAAATTAGACGGAACATTGCCCCTCACCCATGCTTACAGAGTTGACATAATCACTGGTTAGCATCCATCATTATTCCAGATTTCATTTTCTTGTCTGCTAAATATAGCAAGTTTTCACAGTTTATAAAACTTAAAACACTGTCTCAAACCATTAAAAAAAAATCTAAGATATGGCTTTCACACAACACAAAAAAATAGTCAATTTGCATCCACTTCATAAGTAAATCAGACTGACTGAAATATACTGATACATGTAAACTTTGACTTTGTTCGTTATAGTATAGTTATAATGAATCTAAAGCATTATGAAAGTGAGTAAGAAATATTTCTTTGGCATGCAGATATGCTAAGAACTTATATGTGAAAGCAAATAAGAATATGCAATAATATGTCAACATTACATCTGCTCTACCAAGTGCCAACAAGGCTTTCGCCCAACAACAGGGTTCTTCAGGCTGAGTGGGATATGACAGACATAGTAGTATACAAGCAGTATTTGTATCATCTACTTCATGAACAACTGTTATGGTGTGAACTAGATTAAATGAGTAAATTGTAATTATTATTAATTATATTAAAGTCACTTACAAATCAGAATTAAGGGTAAGGATTAATAACACAATATTATTATTTTTTTAGCATTGATCATTTATTTTCATTATTATTATATTTATTTGAATTACGAAAAGTTAGCAAACCAGCAAACTAGTCTCATTGTTCCTGGAGTGAATGAAACATTCACAGCATCAATGGGGGAAAAGAACATTAATAACTCAAAGAATTTACGAGTGAAAGCAAAGACGAATATGTAATAATGTATTAAACACACTTCATATGCCATATGGAATGCCTTTACAGTAATGGTGCAAACTAGATTAAGTAAGTGAACTGTAATTATCATCAATTTGATACAAGTCATTTACAAGTTAGATTTAGGGTAAGGCTTAATAACACATTATTTATGTATTTTAAAGACTAGTTTTTTATTATTATTATTTGAATTAACTTTACTATCATTCAGAAAAACTTGTGATCCAGCAAGCTAATCTTGTGTCAATGGGAGAAAACTATGTAATTTCAAGAAATTATGAGTGAAAAATGTTTATATAATACTGTCAACCACATTACACCTGCCATTACTTACAAAGTAATATACACTACACTATGTACATGTAGTAGATAAGGATATGGTTTAACTTCACATGACTTAAATTCAATAACCAACACACTAGTAAATTTTTAAATCAAACAGTATGTTTAATCTTTCATCAGGGAAAGTTTGTATTTTACTCTGAACCAAATGCATCTGCCATCATATTTTGCTACATTACTCCAATACTGAAACATTACTACTTGGTTGTGATTAACTCCATTTTTGATAAGCTATAAGAGGGTAATATCAGCTTAAAGTTTCAATACGAAATCCAAAACGTAAAGATAAACAAATGGCTAATATTAGTTTACATTTTCATTACACATATAATTATAATTTTTTAAAAAGAGTATATTATATACACACACACATATATACACAAACAGATTATGTTGTATACAAACACTTTTGTAGCCTCACCACATTGTTAAAGTCAATTTCACCATGTCCAATTGTGCTTTATCTGTCAACTATGCATTTTGAAACAAGACCTGCAGCATGCTTTCAAAAGGCTAACTCATACAATTATGTCCATAGCATATCCCTTCTCCTTGCAGCTTTCCATAAGGTATTAACTGTATTAACAAAAGTTCCTAGCACCTGTTTCAATAGTTTTATCACACAGAATTCTAAAGTGTTGTATCTGACTACTTGACCTATATATCTTCGTATGTAATAGCATGATTATCTGTTTCAATTTCCAGTAAAAATGCAGAAAAGTTGTGGAAGCAACTTTGTAAATGCGTGACTTGTGTCGTTTTTCCAGACAGAGATCCTTTTTGATTATGTTGCATACTGTTGCCTGGTACACTTGGATGGCTTTTGCCACTCCTCTTTGAGTTTGTGGATTCTCATTGGTTACAAGATTCAGCACTCTGCTTACCATGATTTCAGTACGACTGTTGTAGCTTTCTTTCTCTATGGTCCTGGTGCTCCAAGTTGAACCATATTGTTGTGCTTTCTAATGCCATAAAATACAAGGGATATTTCCATCTTTGAAATTCTAAATCACTGATCTGAAACACATCTTTATGGTGTGAATGTACAAATATTTTGCATCAAAAAAGGCTGTTATATACATTTCCCAAAAGTAATCAATTTTTAGTGCATCACACTACCTACCAATGTCAAAATGTAGTTCTAATACATAGCATTATACCATAATTTTTTATTGCTCATGTTTGCCACGTGACTTACTCTTTTTCATATACAAAATTGTTCTAATTTAAGATACTCAACAAACATACGTATACAAATGTAAAATTTCTAAAATATTTCCCCAAAAATCATACCATAATGTTTTCTGTTTTATGCACATTACAGATTGTAGTATTTTACCTCACCTTCTTCCCAATAATAATAATAATAACAATACAAAAAAGATAAATATTCATTGCTTGCTGCAATTATCTATCACAAGATCACTCTCAAGATACTTATCTGGATTTTTCTTACTAGTGAAATTAAAGAACACAACAACTACTCACCTCAGTTTGGCGACTTTCTGCCAGTTCTCCGGTAAACATGGCATGGAAATATGGAGAACATGCTGATAAAATAACTCTGTGAGCAAACAGCTTTCGAGAACCAACTATCAAAACAACATCACAGAGCTCCCTGTGTTTACGTAAAAGGTTAATCTTATCCAGGGTATACCTGGGATGTTTTTCAGATGTGTACTCCAGTCTTGCTGGTGAAGGAGGTCGTTCAAAGTTGCTATGAATTATTTCCCCCATGATTATTCATCTGGAATTATTGAAAATGTAAGTATACTTATACACTGTACTTTCAATAATCAAATAGATGAAAATCAAGAAATTAGCTTACAACTATGTTATATGATAAACTTTTCATACCACTAGAAAGTGTTTGAAATTTACATATCAGTTACAATTCTATTTATGCCACTTAAGGTAATGATTTTTCTGACATTATAATCATTTAGTTGAAGCATAAAATTTTCCCAACCAATCAAGTGATATATAAAAATTTCTTAAACCACATATTTCTTCAAAAATAAAGCATTTTTGATATTTGTTTAACTAAATGTATTTATAGGTATTTATCAAAAGATAATCTTACAAACCAGAAATTTTTTCACTTTTGGTAAATTCTCACTTTTCAGCTGTTGTTCTGAAAGATTTAGTCATTCGATATGCAAAATATATGTTAACTTCAATAGTGTTTCACAACAGGATATAAACTAGTAAAAAATCTATACATTTAAAATAACTTTTAATTAGTAAAAACTTTGCATATATGTCATTTCCCACTGAAATAAAGATATATAAGGATAAAAAACACTTCTTGAAATCTAAAATGTATGAGATATGATTAAATTACTTCTTCCTCAAGAAATTACCTTAAAATTATAGCATTTTCAAAACTTTTTATATCCTATTGTGTATTCTATTTACAATGGTACATTAATTTAATTATAAGTGTACAAACTCCTTTGGGAAGAACAAAAACTTGTGCACTTATTACCAAGTCTAGCCTTAGATTTTTTATTTAGAAAAACACAAGCGTATGTATATTTACATACTAGAAATAACACATGAATAATCATCAAATGAGAAATAAAAACTATAAGTCACTCAATCTTCTTAAGCAACACACACACATTAGAAGATTTTCAGTTTTCTAAATGGTAGTTTGTCTTTCATGAATAATTAGGATAATTTTAATTAACATCAAATTAGATATATATTTTTCTGCAGGCAAGAACATTGAGAGCCAGCACAGGCCCCTTTCTCTTTTTTAACATTTTCAAGAATTTATTAAAAAGAAGATCCTAAAAAAAATGGCTGCTGCTATGATTTTGTCTGGTTTATGAGCTTGTTGCTGTCCTAAAAAATCTAACCTACTTTATGACAAAAACTTTAAAATGACAAAACTTTTATGACAAAACTTTAAAATCTAACCTACTTTAGGACAAAAACTTTAAAGACAATGAGTGGCCATAAGATAATCCTTGGAAGATGAATATTGGGATCTGATGGTTTCTCACGTAGTATATTGCTGTTTAGTGTTAAATACCGGTATAATATTCCGTTGCTTAGATACTAAAAAGTTTGTAGTATTTAATTGAAGGATTAGGCCTACATAAGTTAATCGAAACTAAATTTATCTAAGTTAACTTCTCAAAATCAGCGTAAGAGCCTGAATTGATTTTATTTATTTATCAAAATGTAACTATTTACTAACTATTTTACTAAATAATGAGGCCGACTCTTCATTAAATTAATGTTTTTGCTCACAAAATTTAATAGATGTGTTGCACACAAAATATAGAGTAATCTTCTACGAACAATGGCGGCCACGAACATATTAAAAGAAGTAATACTATTATTATCGATGATGACAAAGTTAATTTTGACCTTAGGTCAATTGTCATGTCAACTTTTTCACTACCTAGTGCCGCCGATTTTCATTTATATACTAATGGACAGGCCCGCCGACAGAGGAGGCAACTGCCCAGGGTCCCGGGCGAATGAAACCTGGTTATAATGGTTGATTGGTTTGTTTGTTTGTTTTTAATTTCGCGCAAAGCTATACGAGGGCTATCTGCGCTAGCCTTCCCTAATTTAGCAGTGTAAGACTAGAGGGAAGGCAGCTAGTCATCATCACCCACCGCCAACTCTTGGGCTACTCTTTTACCAACGAATAGTGGGTTTGACCGTCACATCATAACGCCCCCCACGGCTGAAAGGGCGAGCATGTTTTTGGTGTGACGGGGATTCGAACCCGCGACCCGCAGATTGCGAGTTTAGTGCTCTAACCACCTGGCCATGCTGGGCCATGTAATGGTTGGATGTACCTGATGATGACAAAACCTTGTACATTTGCTTTTATGTTAAACTTATATTAAAGTTTTTCTTCATTACCCATTCAAGCCGTCTCCAACCATTATTAGTCTCAAAGTGGGTTCCTCGTCATCGAATTTGAAACCAGGTTATGTCGTAAAGTCCGCAAAGCATCTTTAGGCTATATCTTCATTTAATGATAAAAACCATAGTTTTTGGGTTTTCTTTGCATATAGACGCTTGATACATTAAGAACGACTGAAATAATAATTTGAGTAATAATTAATATGTATTTGTTAATTTATAAATTTAATAGATATTTGTTGTTACTTTATTAACGTTTTTACACTTATACTGTGAGGTAGCAAACGGAGACGTAACATTATCAATATACCTAATGTTACTGCCCCTTCAATTGGCTCAGCAATGAGTCTGCAGGGTTACGACACTACCGATACCCGTATTAAGTAGAGTATAGATACTCCATTGTGTAGCTAGAGATATAACAACAACCAAACTAAACGTTCCCCGGCGAGACAGCGATAAGTCTACGGGCTTACAACGCTACAATAATGGGTTCGATTCCCCCTCGGTGGATACAGCAGATTGCCCGATGTGGATTTGCTACACAGAAGCACACATACCAAACTTTATATTTACGCAAGAAATGGCGTCTGTATTTATTGCATTAAACCTAATAAAAACTTTGTAACAATAAAACGGGAAATATAATAAGGAATGCTAAATATTATTCGAAATTTTGTTATAGTGCATTTAACAATATGGTGTCGCTAAAGTTTCGTCGGAACGAAGTTACGGAAAGTTAATTCCTGTTTGTTAATTGATTTTCCGTAACTTCGTACCGACGAAACTTAAGCGACACAAGCCTTTACTTAATAAAACTGGTTTATTCTTTCCGAATATAACTTAACCGATACACTCAACAATCGCGCTAAAACAAACTATAATAACGAACGAACGTTAACTACAACAATACGTCTATCTCTGACTGCAGTTCAATTACTCATTGACTACATCTTACACATTACCTTTCTTACCGCGTCACGTTTTCCCCTCTTATATATATACCAGCCTAACCTATATCGAGTAATTACATGAACATTCG